TGTATTCCATACTAATATGAAAGAAATATATGAACAATTACATGCCCATAAGAACAATAAAACACTATTATAGACCATTCAGGGGTAGAGGGAAGTGGGGGGTGGAGGAAGGACATATGGCAGAAGGAGGGAGGGCATGAGGCTGGATCTCACCTAATGTATACATTGTGAGGGTGTATAGCACACCCCCTGAGTGAGGGGCTCTTCTTTAAATAGAACTTTACCCTGGAAGTGAGAACAATGTAACCCAAATATTATACACTCATATTAATTTTAATAAAGTTTAAAAAATTTGAAGTAGAGGGAACTTGATTAAATATTCATTTAATTTAGTCAGTATTCCTTGAGCTTAATCTTAGGAGCTCCTGGCAATAACCTCATTTGTGGTATGAAGAAAGTTATAGGGTATGAGAGAGCAATCAAGGCTCAGAGTTTGGAAATTCTAGGCCAACACAACAAAGCCAGTGTCCAGAGGTTCTAGAAAGGATGCTACTTCAGACTCAACTTAGACCAAGTGCAAAGCCAATCCCCTTGTACAAGTAAAGAAAATATAATGATGTGGTTCTTGAGAAACTGGACTGCTATAGATCACCACTCTGGTAGTGGTGTTAAAGCAGTCATCACATAAGTTGAATACAATATATGTAGGAAGAGCCAGGATAAAGGACAGGTATCCTAATGCTCAGTTTCCTAATGTAAAAAAATGTTTTTAATTTTACTTATAGCACTTACTTATAACACTTTCCCTTAATTGGAAACTGTTCACAGTTATTACAGGGAATTCCAAGGTGTTTGTCCAGTTGCTCTTTCTCAGCTGCGGCCACAAGTTTGCTTGAGTTCTTCAATTCTTCCAAAATAAGTTTGAATGGTGCAAATTCTTTCCTGCACAGAGGACATCTCAACATGGAAGCATTTGATGTCATATTCTGATAATTAGCTAAGATTGTCATGCATTTTATATGAAAATTATTGCCACAGCCAAACCTATTGGAAATAAAATTGAAGTTTACCATTTGTATTCAGCAAAGTTATATATATATATATGTATATATATACACAAACACTGTATATATTATACATATTTATATAAATAAAATTTCCTGTGCTATTACCTTTATTCCCCAAAGATAGACTCTGAACTGCTTTTCCAGATATAGCTTAATTACATACACACAATCTACCAGTTTGTCATCTTTAATTTAATGTATCAGAATTCCAAACATTAATGTCCCCCATTTCAATAAAATGGTGAAAGATTTTTCGTCATTAAAATATGTTTCCTTTGTAAAGTGAGAATGAATATAAACTTAAAAGAAAATTATAATGATTACTATTTACTGATGTTCTTTAAATGAAATTCTCCAGTGAGAGTAGGGTGCTGACTTATTTTCCTAGACAAAGTAATATCTGCTAAGAGAAACAATGATTTGGGAAGTGGTTAATAATTTTACAATATATGATATAAAAAGACACTTGAAAAACTAAAATGTGGATCAAAATTTTGTCAAATAATCAAGAGAAAAAAAGAATAAAAAATTTCAGTAGCAAATGGATGCCTACATTTTCTAAGTCTAACTTTGTAGTGAAGAATAGTATGAATATAAGACTGTCAATAAATATTTGTGCACAGGCGAAATTCTGAATTCTGTAGGTTTAAAGACAGAATTTTGAAAAATTAAAAATAATTCTTATAATTTCAAGTAAGATAATCTTTTTACTAGAAAACTCTTGGAAACTATGATGAGCCATGACATTTATTCACATGTGTAAAATAAAAACATGAAAATTTAAGTCTTCCATTACTTAAAAGTGGGGAGAGGAATAATTTTAGAATTCTGTTTTAATTTTCACTGTTAACGTGTAACTCAGAATTGTTTAGAGTAAGAACGGGACCTCTCACAACATGTATGCTAGGAAACAAAAGAATGCTAATTTTAATAAACAAATTGGCTGTTGGTAAAGCTATTTTTTTCTATCAACAAATCTCATAAGGTAATTAATTATAAACATGTAGAATTTGAATTTTTCATCAGTTTTGAGAAGATGAAGGAAAATTAAATCACCTGCAATAGGTGACAGGAAGCTTTTTCTCTAAAAGTACCTCTTGACAAATAGAGCAGATATCCTCTGAGCCAATTTCCTTCTGTTTAATGCACTCATCTTCTTTAACATGTGCATTTTCATCATTTGTTCCTGTTTGGGGAGTCTGAACTCGATGTATCCCCCGCAGCAAATCATTTATTTCTCCTTCTACAAGACCCAACTGGAAAGCAGCTAGTGAAAAATCCCAAAGTATTAAAATTCAGTGGCAAAATTGGAGATGCAGAGATGTAATAAACTTATGCTGAAAGTTAGAATTTTCTTTCATATATTGGAAACAGTTTGGGTTGAATTATTACACTGACATTGAATCCTTTTTTTGTATTCCTTTTAGGGACAAAAAATCAGACAAGAGTCACTTTTACAAAGAATGAAAATCATCTTTTTTCCTTGTTACTGAAAAGGGTCAGTGCAAACAATGCATTAGAAGGGTTTCGGATATGGTAGTGTTCATTCTTAGATTGGGGTAATAATCATGTCTTACATTTTGATTTGTTCATTTGTACATAAACAAATGTTTTATCAGTATATAGAGTACTAAAATAAATAGGGCACAAATACATAAAGAGGAAACAGGGGAAATGTGTATTTGTTAGATGAATAAACGAGTGAATGAGTAATGGAAGAACAAGACTTAATTACTGTTGTCTACTTTCCTGTTTCAGTTTTGTGTCCCTATAAATGAGTGTCTCAGTAGCTAGGTCCATCACAGATTTGGTCAGTGTTCCTCAGGTCAATCTATTAGTAACTATAATGCCTGTACCATTGGCATGTCATTCTTTGAATTCTTAATATTCTTCATCCTGTTGTCCTTACAAGAAATTATGTTCTAAGCTTCTAGAGTTTTGATCAGGGCATCTTAAATTCCTTATTC